TTTTTAATAAAATATGATTTTTACCAATCTTTTATTTCATTTTTTAAGTTTAAAAATAATCTATTTACATGTTCTTCGTCTATATTAATTGAATCATCATCATTGTTATCATCATCATTTCCATTATCATCATTATCTTCTGGCTCAATTGTAGAAAATTTTTCTAATTGTGATACAAAAGCATCAACATTTTTAAAAATGCCTTTTTTGTAAAATTCCATACAATGTATACAACTTTTTCCCAGATCTTCATAGCATTCATAATGATAACTATAGCCACAAATCAATATGTGCCCATCAGTATATGGAAAGTTTGGATCAAATGCTTTGTCACAATTCACACAAATCCTTTTTTGGTGGATGTTCTGTATGATAACCAGCAGGTAATGATTTTAAATCTATTCCCTTGAATTCAAAGAAACATGTAATGAACCCAATATTGGAACAACATTTTCAATCCATCAATAAATTTTTTGAATGTAGTGTAATAGCTTTTCTAAGAAAGAGTTGTCCTGGGTAATCAGCAATTACAGTATAACATTTTTTTTAATATATTCTGATAAACTATTTATACTTGTTATCATTTTTAATGCTGACAAATAATCTTCCAATGAGTGAAGGCTCTGTTGTTTTATATTTATTATCTTTAATGACTATTCACAAATTTGTTTCTTATTCCAGCTAAAAGGTAACAAAAACCTACAATAGATTTTTTGGCTGATTCTTTATTCAGATATCTTCTTTCTTCAGGGATTATTTTTGTTAGTTCATTAAAAAAATCCTTTCAACTTTGGTTCTTTATCTTCAATTAATTTACAAAAATTTATAGGATCTAATTCAATATCTTCATTTGATTTACATTGTTGTTGGAAAGTATATTGGTCAATAATTCAATTTTATCTGCAAAAGTTAAGGAGCCTATAATAAAAAAATCAATTAATAAATAATAATCATTTTAATACTTTTTTCCAAGTTGTTCTGAACTGTTAAAAAATATTATTCATATATTTTCAATTTCTTTGCTTCCAAATTTTCAATTTTTTGAACCAGTAAGCTAAAATCTTCTTCAGATAAAAGAATTCCATTTTCTGTAATATTAATTTTAATGTCATCCAAAGAATATTCACCAGATAATTCACTTTTATTCACTTCTTTATATTTATGTTCTACATATTTCATATAATGTGTAAAACAAAGTTGTTGATTTTTTTTTAATTTATATTTAAATAATCTGGATACTTCATTAACTTATTGAATGCTTTATCAGTTATATTTCTAAAAGTAACATATTCAGGACCTTTTTCATTTTCTTTACAATTTTCAACTGCATAAAGACCAGTATTTTTATTTTTACACATCATTTTTATTAAATAATTGAAGTATAGTTAAGTAGCAAATAATATAAGTAATAGTATAATGAATAATAGTGAATAGTAAGTATAATAATAATTAATGGTTTTGATTTTATTTGACCAGCCAGGAAAAGAGTTCTTTTTTATACCTTTATCAAAGCTAACGTTGTAAAAATAAATTCGAAAAATCCGAAACATGTGAAAATTTATTATTTATTTAGGGATTGGCCGAAACTTTATAAAAGTTTCCATTTTTGTATATTCAATTTTGACACGTTACACAACCAATTAAATCGAATTTCCACATGCTGAAATTTTTAACATGAATTTTTTAATAATAGCTCCGACACAAAAATATACATAACAACCATACAAACATCATATCAGTTCGTAACGAAAGTTCTGGAGATTATGTTTATAATCCAAGATCCTCCGATTCTCTGGTATAATTTTCATTAAAAACAATATTTTACAACCCGCCTTTCTTTCTTAACGCACTGTATATACTGTATTTATTAATTAATTGATTGGCAATTAATTTAATATTAATATCTTAGATCACACAAACATAATCTTATTTTCTTATAATCTCTTATATTACGAGAAAATAATAAACAAACAAAATCTCAGGTCACCTAATATAGAAGTAATTCGAAACACAAGATATAATAATATCATCTTACAAATGATAATTATCATCATCTACTGATGTTATTGTTCCCTGCAGGTGTACATGATGACATAATGATGATTATCTTTTCGTTTGTTTGCGCGTTATTTTTTTTTATATAAAGATGTAAATATTCATTAGAATTAAAACTTTTTTAACAAATAAATTTAAAAATTAAACTTGATTTCTTTTTCATTTCTTTTTTTTTGAAATGTTCAAAAGTTTTATTAGATCTCCAAGTCCGATTCGTGTACCTTTATTACACAGCAATCGTAGAATTTCTTCCAATTCAACAATAACTTCACTAAAAACAATTAAAACAACAAATAACAATAAAATAAACAGTCGTTGCTTGCATCAAAATGTAAAAAATACTAATACTACATATGCAAATCGAATTTACAAAAACACATCAAATTCAATCTTTAACACTACACCAATAGCTCTCTCTTCATCAAAAAATTTGAATTCTTCAATTCGTCATCCTTTATCCACCACCACAAAAATTTCATATCATTTTTACAGTACAACCACAATAAATAATAAGCAATTAAATGAAAATAAAAGTGCTGCAAAAGATGTTAGTGAAGAAATTTTCACATCGGTTCCTAAAGTTGATGTTAAGAAAGTACTTGTAGTAGGATCTGGAGGTCTATCAATTGGTCAAGCTGGTGAATTTGATTATTCTGGTAATTTATCATTATAATTATCATTTATTATTATTGCTGTTAATGATTTTGTTGTAGCATGGAATTAATCAAATCTTTTTATAAATATAATATAATAATAATGTATAGGATCACAGGCTATTAAAGCTTTACGTGAATCTAATGTGCATACAGTTCTTGTAAACCCCAATATTGCCACAATTCAAACATCACATGCTTTAGCAGATACTGTCTATTTCTTGCCTGTCACTGTTGAATATTTAACCTATATTATTGAACGTGAAAGACCTGATGGCAT